GGGGGGGGGGGTGAATAGGCGATTTTTATGAAAGTCTTCAGAACATAGAAGTTTTGAAGACAAACGATAAAATTAAACATATTACCATGCAGCGGAAGGTAGACTACACTAGGCAGACCATAGTCAAGTATTCAATGAAGTGAAAGCACAAAGACTAATAGCAGCTAGGTAGTAAGGATCGGGTAGGAAGATATTGTGAGGCCAAACAGAACACGCAGTCACTCAGTGAAGACAAATGATAGTGCAAACATACAATGACTTCACAAGGAGTAACAGTAAGTAAAGGGAAGTGAAGATGAAACCAATGACTCGTTGAAGACAATTATTTGTTGGACCAGTTCCAGTTGCTGTGACAACTGTACGTCTGGTTGGAGCGGCTAGGTATTTAAACCTTAGGACACACAGTCCCGGACACCCAGTCCTGAACACGCAGCTCAGGACACCCAGTCCTCACTGTATTCTCCTTGAACTAAGGTCATATAGACCTCGCCCAATCACTCTGGTAAGTCTTCAAGGTAGACTCCCAAACCTTCACAGACTTCGTTCACCGGCAATCCACAATGTCTCTTGGATGCTCAGAACGCGACGCCTAACCGGCTGGAGGATGCACAGTCCTCAAGTGTAATAAGTCTTTACATCACACAGACAAGAAGACTTAAGTGATGCCCAATTCTCTCTGGCTTTGGTGGTTAGGGCTTTATCCTCGCAAGGAATTCTCTCTCAAAGGCTTCGAGGTGGGTTGCTCTCAAACGACAAAAGCCGTACTTTCAATCTGAGCAGCCAACCGTTAATGGTTGTAGGGGGTGGGCTATTTATAGCCACTTGGCAACCCGACCTGATTTGTCCGAAATGACCCTGGGTCACTAAAGAATTGACACGTGTTCCAACGGTCAGATTTCAAACTCACACGGCAACTTTACTTGGGCTAAAAGCAAAGCTGACTTGTCCGACTCTGGACAAGATTCGCTCTCATAGTCTTCACTCGAAGACATAGGTTTTTGGTTTAGGCATCACTTCAGTCATTCTGACTGGTTCTCTTGAACCCCACTTAACAGTACGGTGGTTCCTATGACTCAACACAAAAGAAAAAGAACTACGAAAGATCTAAGTCTTCGAGCTCCATAGGCTTCATATAGTGTCTTCTCTTGTCATAGTCTTCAATGTGAATATCTTCATATACCACCTTTGACTTCAATGTCTTCATACATTTTTAGGGGTCATCTCTGGTAGTAAAACCGAATCAATGAGGGACTTCTACCTGTGTTATCCTGTAATTCTCACAAACACATTAGTCCCTCAACTAGGTTTGTCGTCAATACTCCAAAACCAACTAGGGGTGGCACTAGATGCACTTACAATCTCCCCCTTTTTGGTGATTGATGACAAACTAGTTGAAGTTTTCAACGGGGAATATAATCTGTGAAATTGTAAAGGATAATGAATTGTCTTCATAAGTTGCAAGGGCTCCCCCTGAAGATGTGCATATAAGTTAATTTGCTTTTGGAATGCAAATGCACATGGCAGGTTGTACTTGTGGAGATCCACTTCAACTTATGATGACAATCCACTATGCATGCGAAAGTATATGAAGATAATGACATGCATAATGGATAATGGACGTCTGCAGAATGAGCTAAGTGCGGAATTTATCGTCGCACATGCGGAATTTATCTTCGCAAAACAAGGTGTCAAATAAGTAGCAGACGACCATCTAGTTTAAGTGTTACAACTCATAAGAACCAAATGTAGCAAAAATGAGAGTTGTAAGCACGAAGCAAAATATAAAGCACCCGCCCATATGGACCCGCTTGAAGACTATCAATCTCATATGCTTCTCCCCCTTTTGTCAGT